CTCTGCTTCCTGAAAAAAAAACCAGTTTCAAATTACTTTACTATAGGATTAACACAATTTCTTCAAGAGATTGTTGTTGTGCAAACTATGTTGATTAAACCAAAAATTGAATAATAGTCCATAAAACTTCCATGTAAAGTTTGTGAATCTAAATCATCCGGTGTACAAACAAATTATGAACACATAAAACAGAAATGGTAAAATATCTGCTATCAACACCAAATTGCCAAAATATATATAAAAAAAAACCATTATTAGTAAGATATGATATCAAACAATTTAAGTGAAGTCTTCTAATTTGCATTGTTTCATAATCTGTTTTTGGATTCTTTAGTGATGCATAATTTAACTTTGATACCACTGTCACAGTGAAAAGGGTTGAGTCCTTAAAAACTTGTTTAACCCAATCACATATTCAAGAGATCTATCCTAAACCAGGGCCCTGTTGTTAATTCGTTGTTGTTATTTCTGTTAAAAAAAGTCTTTGGTTTATCACTATTAGCAATTTTATTTTAATAACTTCAAATTTTTATTTTTAGAGACCATTTTATAACTTGCTCCAAGATGTGGGTGGTTGCTCATTCAATTTGTAGAAGACCATATGGTGATCTGTAGATGCTTTCTGGTTCTTCAGTCTTTGGTAGACAGAGGTTTAATTTCCATCATTACCACATCTCCACGTTTCATTTTTACATACACAAATACATATGATCTCATTGACATTTTATTCATATATGTATGTATTAAGAAATAATTAGTCATTCAAGTTATTCTGCCTGATGACCTTCTTTTGTTGATAACCAATCTTTACATCCTCTCCATAGACAACGGAACAGTTTTTGTGTCGGGTGTCACATGAGACAATAAATGTGGTTTGATTCCAAAAACATGACAACAGCCTTCAAACTATGAATAAATAAACACAACATGTCATCTCAAATCACTAATAGTGCTTATCAGTTTAATGTAGAAAGAAGTTTAGTGTTCATTCATCAAAACAATACTAGTAATACAAATTATACAAAAGTTTATCTATGGAAATCAGTTGAAATGCTTGTGGATTCATTTATGTTCATAAGTTTCGAATTTAGTAGTTAAGTTTGATAAAAATTTCAAGGATACTAAATTGCATGTTATCATAATTTCAGGTAAAACCAGATAAGTGCTTTTGATGCCTAAAATTTATATAAAGTGTTATTTTCATTTGCTTCAATCACAATCCAGAATATATTTGTATTCAAACTACCATATCATTGAGACATTAGCATGGGTAATAACATAACTGTTAAGGTAACGATGGCAACTGGATCCAGAAGAATTTAGTTTCTGTGGTTGTTCTTGTATTTTTCCAGTACAGTTTCAAAGCTAAACATGGTAAAATTGTCTATTGGCTGTTAGTGTTTTTAACACATGCCCTTGTTTGATTATTTTAACTTCAATTTATGTTGTATATCCCCATACAAGGGACATATACAATCTTCGCAAACCATATTCCTCCTCAATTGCAGTCATGGACTATATAGCTTATATATCAAAATATTACTACTCATCAACAAAAAAAAAGACTCAAAACTTTACAAGGATTTCATTAATACATTTCAACCCCATGAATTTACTTTATTACTTGGCACATTGTTTCTTTATCTCTGTTGATAGGAATTACTTCTACAATTCCATTTCTGTTACCAGTAATTATTTAAAACAAATGTTTGATTTTCAACAAAAATTATGTTACAAAATGAATATATCCAACTAGGTTATCACCTCCAAATGTTCAGAAAAAATATATTACGGAACCCAAAAAGCAGAAAAATGAAAAGTCCATGTTTTTGAGATATAATCAATTGAAAATTTGGCGCGAAATAATTATCTTTACATTTTTCATACATTCAATATTGGAACCTCTTTTCTTTAAAAAACTATGATAAAATAACAAGGAAATTATAAGATTCCAAAAATGGCTTTATAAACTATATGCAATAAAATTAAGAAAAGTAGGGGTTAGTGGGCAAAATTTTTATTGGCCCTGCATGGATAAAAGTAGAGGATTCTGAATATCTCACAAAAATTAAAAAACAAGAGTAGCGAACATCCTTAAAATCTATATCTAACAGAGTAAAATGCACTGGTACCTTATCATCTATAACTGTCATCTGTGTAACCAGTCCTCTCTCTGCTCCATAATACAATGCTTTCAATTTGTGGTCCTGGAAACAGGATATAGGAAATACAGATATTAAACAATGGAAATATTGACATTTGATTTTGTTGAAACATTCATAAAAAGACTTAACTGAATTTCTGCTTTGCTTTTCTTGTGTTTTTAAATTACTGTCACTTATCCAACAACTCCTTTCATTACTCAGTCAATATTAAAAAAGTATAGATAATTTAAAGGCAACCTTATTTAATCTGCAAAATAGATCCATTTTTAACTTTGCTTTATCGATAACTGTGCATCATATACCTATATGGAGTTATATTCTTTCAGAACGACAGGTATTTCTTTTGAAGAAACAACCCGTTTATTAGACTGAAATACCAGAAAATGTTGTTAACGCACATTTTAACTTTTGAAACGAAAAAAGTTTGGTGAATTTATAGCTACATTAAAGGGAAATGAGAAATATGTGAGATAAATTTGATTATGCAAAACTTTTGATAACACTTTTAAAACAAGCAAAATTCTATCACATTTGTGTTTACGATTTTTAAAAACAGAAGAATACAATTTTGTTGGTACACACTGTATTGGAAATCTTGCTTTGACCGATTTCCGTTTTTTCGTGTTACATGTACATTACGATTTTGTACTTTATTCGTGCCAGTTCTTGATTTTTTTACATCCAAATATGCTCATTTTTTCGTTTTCTATAAGGGAACAGCCATGTATTTTATAATAGAGGGGGGGGGGGGGGGTTAATAAATTTTATCCTGATTCTCATTTATTGAAGAAAAATTTTTAAGTTTTTCTTGTCGTATAACACACTTTGCAGTGTCAGGATTGCACAAAGAAATTAAAGACCTCTCTACGGCAGGTCTTTCATTTAAACAATCCTGACAACCCTCGGTGTGTTATACGACAAGAACGACCTTAAAATATGCATTATGTAAAACAGAGAGACTAGATGATGATGACAATCAGTGGGTGTTTTATATCCAGTGGCAAATATTTAATACATATGAAAATGTGAACATTTTTGTGTGATTTGAAAATAAACCCTGATTTGTTCTACACTGACATGTTAAGCAGAATTTTAAAAGCGTAAGTTCAAAAGGTAACAGTCCGTTGAAAGATATGTCACCTCACCCGGTACCATGATTCTGGTTCTAAGATGTTCTATTCTTGAATGTCAGTCATTGCACAGAAGCAGCAATATCAATTTTCAAGTCTGATCAGGAATCAAACCTATGACTGCCTCCCTTTGGCGAGAGGGCTACCACTAACAGAGACTATATAAATAAAGTTTTATTAACTTTAGATTGTTTTCTTACAAATACATTGGTAATGTTGAAAAAGGCTGCCTTTTTACTAAATTCATTGATCTAAAGTGTTTATGCCCATTCAATAAAGCATTATTTCTCACTGTCTGACATTGAAACAACCTGAACAACCCTATTTTATCTCAAAAACTTACATATTCAAATAACCAATACTTTCCATTGGAAAGAATTCTATCAAAATTGTTATTGGTTATGAATTTGTTTATATACATTGTTCAAACAGGGAACTTCCAGCAAAATTAAGCCTTGTAAACTGCTAACTGGTATGATCAAAAGCAGCTTTTTTCAAGACATGGTTACCTGAAAATATAACCCAACTTACCTGTGTTTGCTTGAAACCCCAAAATCATTTTAATGTCTAATTTTATTACCTGTCTGGTGTAACATCTGATAAATTTGTCGAATGATGCAGAGAATAAAAGATCTTCAAAAACACAAACAGTGGCGATGATGCCTGCAGCCTGGGTATATGTCCAACTCATATAGCCAGTCTAAAAAAAAATGTAAGAGGTCAAAACGTAGATGATAAAGACAACAATACATGTGTCCAAATATAACTCTAGTTTGGCACATAGTGATAGTAAATAATAAATAAATATCTAAAATACAAGTCGACATACTTTTGATATGAGAAGTAAAATGCATGTTTAGACATTTTACCTAGAAATTCTAATTATAAGCTGTTTTAGAAGTGGAAAAGAAATGTATTGAGGATATCGGAAGGTTAATTTAGTCATAGATTTCTCTGCATCAATCTTGGTCTTTTTAGCAATCACATGGTCTGTTCTGAAAAATATTTTCTCTTAAACAAAAAATTGTGAAACAGCTTGAGTACATATCAATGTGTCTGTACACTCAACAGAAAAAAGAGAAATATTTACAGTAGACAATGTACATGTATGCAACAATAGACGGACAAGGTGAATGCAAAATAACCCCACTCCTAGAATGGGGCTTATAAACTTTAAGTTTCTTAGTCACCCTACTTGCCTTGATCAATTTGGAACACACTGAAAACTTGCATATTTAAAAATAGAATCAGTTTCTTAGTCACCATATCGTCCCAGCCTTGAACATTTTGAAATCACGGAAATTAAAAGTTATGTAAAGAATAATAAGCGTCTTAGTCACCCTCCATGCTTCGAAATATTTTTTAAATACATCAGTGAAAAATAACTTTTAAAAAAATAATTTTAAAAGTTTGAATGTGATCTTATGAAATGTATGTCAGTTGGTAGGGTTTATATTACCTTTATTTTGTTGAATGTAAACTTTAACATTCAAGTAGTTTCAAGTATTATCATGTTTATATGTATTACAAAACTGCACAATTTTTCTTTATGAATGAGTTTAAAGTAAGATAAGATATAATTTATATCACATGTTTAAACACAGTGATTATTTGAACAGCGTATAGAAGTTGCTTGTTTTAAAACTATTTAACTTGATAATCAAGAATTATAAAGCATGAAAATAGGAATATATCAGTGAAAAACATGGCTCATTTTGGGTCAGGTCAAAGGTCCCAGGATATTCTAGCTTGTGGATTATGTGAAGTAGAAACAAAAATAAAAGTGAAATGTATGAACTGTGATCTATATATGTGCCAAAAATGTACAGATAAAATACATGCAAAGTTCAAGAATGCTGATCTCCATGACATTGTTGATTTGAAGGACATTCATTCTCATATTGATGAAACTAAAGCAAATTCTGAATTCAAACCAGTAAAATGTAAAGATCATAGAAAACAACTGTGCTGCATGTACTGCTTAACGTGTGAACTATTAGTTTGCCCAATGTGCATAGCAAAAACTCATCAACTTCATTTAATGGAAGACATACAAACTGTTTGTCAAAAGAAAGTTGAAGAAATGAAAATACTTCAAGATCAAGCTAAATCTAAGATAGAAAAATTAATAGAAAATGTAAATTTAATGGGAGAAATTGAGAAAGCAAAATCACATGAAATAGAGCAAAATATATTAATGGAGGAAAAACAAGCAAGGGAAGTTCAGTCAAAATGTTTGAGGTTACTTAAAGAACATAAAGATAAGACAGAAAGACAATCTGAACTGATGTCATCGAAAGAATTTGAAATTCTAGAAGATAAAAAAGATATCAAAACAGTTATACAACAAGTAGAAAATAAATACGAATCACGAAATACAGAAGAATTTCTTGAAGCTATACGAAATATGCATTCAAAATTAGAGTCGATTAAGACAACAAGTTCAAAATCGTTTGATATGAAAATACTACATTATGTTCCTAATTATAAAATCCAGACCAATTCTAAATCAATTGAAATTGAAATTCATTTTGAAACAAAAGCAAAATATGAACTAAACATGTTAGACGTATTGAAAATAAATAGTATCACAAGTGACAAGGATGGTAACATCTGGATCACAGATGGAGTTAGAAAAATTCAACAACTGCAGGTGAAAGAAGGAGTTAAAGTCATTAAAGCACTAACAACTGGCCCTGGCTTCACTGAAATCAGATGTTGGAATAAAGGCATTCTCTTTACATCTGATGATTATTCAAAAATCATTCATTTGGCCTCTAACGATAAATTGAAAGTTTTCAAAAATCTTTCTCCTAGCTTGCCTTTTGCGCTCTCTGTTTCAGAAAATGACGTTATTGTAGGAATGAACTGTGTCTCTGTAAAAGACAAAACAGACATACCCGTCATCATTAGATTGGGATTTAATGGGAAAATTATACAGATCTATAAAAATCATGGTAGACAACTACTTACAAGAGATGTTGTACGATGCTGTACAACAACCAATGATGGTGCTATCTGCTACATTGATAGTATTAACAGTAAAGGCTATTTAGGAGATGTAGTATTCATCAGTCGAGATGCAATTATTCAATGGAAATACAGTGGAAACTCCTTAATTAATTCAAATAAACATCCTTTTACTCCTATTGAAGTTGTGACAACAGGGTCTTATAATTTCATAGTTTCTGACGAGAACCAGCATGCTCTCCATTTCCTCAGTACAAAGGGGGGATTACTGACAATCTTAGACTTAACAATGATTGGAGTGGGAGATCCAGGGGTTATGACAATTGATAACAATGGGACTTTATGGATAAGTAGCGAGGAACTAAACAAAACAATACTCAGCCCTGTGAAATTCTTTGGATTCTGACAGAAATGTCAGGTTTTACATATCCTGATAACAAAGTTGACAGTATCATTTTATGAAGAACTTTTCTATTTTTGAAGAGTGAAGTAATTGCAACTGCTAGTAATATAAAACAGATTTTGTTATATAAAAAAATTACTTGTAAAAACTTTATTACCGGTAATTGTTACTGTTAGGCAAATGGATGAATGATAGCATAACGATACAATTATTGTGCAACGGTTAACATTATCTAAACGTTTATGGTGGATGAAATCAAGCTATCAGTTAAAGGGGCATTAGCTACGAATTCGACAAAAAAATGGAATATATTTTATTTTGTTTCAAACATTTATAAAAGCGGAATAAAGAAATTATATTTTGCTATTAGCAGTCAGTTTGGCTCAATTTCGTCAAAATAACCTAAAACACATCTCTGGTGTATTATTGACTTACAACTCAATAATTCAACTCAATTGAATCCGTATTCATGCAACTTTTCAATTTGACCTTTAGATGAGTGGTTGTGCAGGTGTTCACCACGTGGCTCATTCATTAACAAGAAACGAATGTCAACATTGAAAACTGAAACAAGGAAGCGACCAGGAATAACCATTTTGTTGACTGATCCGGCCCACAAAAAAAGTACAGGTACAACGAGGAGTTACATATATGTCAAAGTAATAACATAAAATCAAACGGAGCTTCAGAAATCCGATTGCACGTGCTCGCTCTCTATTTATATTTATATTCATATTGGGTTATATGACCGTCCGCAGTCTTTGGAGGTCATCTCGATGAATAATTAGATGGCATCTTGTCTAAAATACGCAAATGCTGATACATTTTAGCGAGCCTATGCATTGTTAATTGAGAATAATGAAAGTAACTACTGCTCACCATTTATATAATAATTATCAGCACATAAGTCAAAGAATGCCTGAAATTTGTGCAGAAAACTAATTATTTCCAACTTTTTTAAAATTTTCATGTCAAATATTCGTATTCAAGTAAATACTATAACATAAGTGGAATGAGATTGTATATTTTCATGAAATTTTCTGAATTAAAGTAGGCTAATGGGAGTGAAATCAATCGTAACCACAATCCCGTTCTCTTTTCCTCGAATGTGACCTACGGAATAAGATTTATCACCGGATTTGTACTTACATGAGCAACACGTCGGGTGCCACATGTGCAGCAAGATCTGCTTACCCTTCTGGAGTACATGAGATCACCCCCGGTTTTTGGTGGGGCTTGTAATGCTCAGTCTTTAGTTTTCTTTTTTGAATTTTGTGTACTGTTTGTCTTTTCGTCGTTTTTCGTTTTTCGCCATGGCATTGTCAGTTGTTTTCGACTTATGAGTTTGAATATCCTTTTGGTATCATTCGCTTCTCTCTTCTACCGTATAGTATATTAACTTATCTTTGTAAACATCAGACGGTTATCAGTTGTGAAAAAAATACTTCCTAGTTACTGTTTATTCTGTCTCATGATTATGAAATAAATGACTCGAACCTCGGATAAGTTGAACTGTTATGTTTGGTTCACTTGACTTTGACGTATAGAGGTTTCATTCAATCCATTGTATTTACAAGATAACCTAAAAAAAAACATTTTTGCTTGTTTTATCCAAAAGATCTGGTAATAATGGGATTGATTGACATTTAAGAAATTGTGGGTAGGATTGCAGAGCCAAGTCAAACAGGAATTTTCCATTAGAATTTTCTGCTTTTTAGCACAGGAAGAGGTAATTAGAACAATAAACAAAAACACTTTTGTCTGCTTGAATTAAAATATATTAATATGTATGAGTACCATGAATTTTTGCAGAAGACATTCGCCTTGTAAACTAGAATGTTAAAATACTAACCTTATTGGTCTAATATAGAGAAGAGTATGTTTATATCAAACATAAGTGAAGCCTTAATAACAAAATATTCATTTTGATGCAAGCTTGGATTTCCTCCAAAGCAATTTGTTATCAGAGTTTAAATATATTTTTTTTATTCTTGAAAGTTTGTCAATTTTTTAGTAATTCATATGACTTTTTGAAGATGAAGACTGATAAAAAATTTAATATTGTTTTATAAATGTAAGACTTTAACTAAACAAGAAACATGTACTCTAAGAATTTATCAAATTTTTTACTAAAATTTGAACTCGTACCCTACCAATTTACTTTCTTTATAGTATCCACATTTACAATACACACATACATAGATCATTCTATAACAAACATCACTGTTGCTATTCATGTTTAGGTATCTAATTCTATTTTTGAACAATGAAAATTTATTCAGCCTGTTTATCAGAGAAATATTCTAAAATTATTCAACAATAGAACAATAGAATAATTAATAGAAATATTAGTCTTATTCTAAAAATATTCAACAATAGAATAATTAATAGAAATATTAGTCTTCACAGTATTCTTCTTGACAATATACATATAAAATGTGGTATGATTGCCAATGAGACAACTATCCACCAAAGTTCAAATGAAGTGGATGTAAGCAATTATAGGCGACTGAACGGCCTTCAGCAATGGGAAAAACCCATACCGTATTGTCGGCGGTAAAAGGCCCCGACATGAAAAATGTGAAACAATATAACTGAGAAAACTAACGGCCTTATTTATAACAAAACAATTTACGAAGAAAAAAATTGACTGACATGAACCAATGACAACCACTGAAAACATGTTCCTGACTTGGGACTGGCGCATAAAGAATATGGCGGGTTTAAACATACTTGTGAGGGTTCAACCCTCCCCGAACCTTGGACAGTGGTGTTACAGCCCAACATAAGAACAAACAGTTAAAATCAGTTGCAATTGGCTTAACTAAAAAGATCGGTAAGAGGCACAAAAACGAAAGACACAAAGCACCAAAATAAAGAGTACACGCAGTTACTGCAAAAGCTAATTACAACTAATAAATAAATCATGTTTTCTAAAACTTAAGTATCATCATTACAAATCCAACGGATGTAGTGTAAAAGACATCAATAAACAGTCTGAGAAACGCATGACTTTGTGCAATGCCAAAATATAAGTAAACAGTATCGTCAGGATGTAGGATCACGATTTATCATACCTGTACATTTAAAGCGATATATATATGATAAATATTAAGTAATGTTTTAATGTTTCAAAAACAAAATCAATGTTAACACTAATAAAAACAACATTTACTACTGTGTTGAATTTGTAACTTTTAAGGAAAAAAAACTCACGAAGATACCAGGATTGAAATTTTGTACGCCATTCGCGCCAGAGACACTCGTTTAAAAAAAGTTAACAAGGCCAAATAACTGTACAAAGTTGCAGAGCAGTGAGGACCAGAAAGTCCATAAAAGTTTTGCCAAATACAACTAAGGTAATCTATTCGAGGGTAGAACATCCTTAGTATTCGAAAAAATTCAACGTTTTCTAAACAAGTAATTTATGATTATGACCATTACGAATAAGTTTATTCAAAAGACCATTTAGTTTACACGGATCTTTTTTTAAATTTACGGGCTTTATAGACAATATTGCCGTAAAAATTAGGATGTGATATCCCGTTTTTAATAAGAACTCTACAAGTTTGTTTTGTTTATCCAAACCTGACCATTCCACTAGATCACTTATCTTGGAAATATGTTATATTAATATAGTATATAACAAATCTGGACAAAACTGATCAGTATTATCTGAGACGGGTTACAATGGTTTTGACCTGCATTAATTTATTAATTGTAGTACCCTGTGTAAATATAAATAGGGTATGATACCAAAGTTCAGTTCATTGTCTCATTCATTTTTTATTTTTTTGGAAATTTATGGAAAAAGAAAACTGGAGGTTCAGAAAGCTAAGTGGTTAGTTTTTGGTTAGTTTTATCAGTAACTATACATAGATTGTGCTTTGGTTGTGAGGAGTAATCGTTTAGACATATGCTGAATGTCCTATCAAAACATTGTGTTAAGGAAAAATCATCATTCTTAAATTTCGTGTATCCAAAGCCTTTTTCTGAATTTTTCCTTCAAGAACGCTCAAATCCAAAAAAAAGAAAAGCCAATGATGTATAAATACCTGAAAAGGTGAAAAGCTATTTAACCAAACTGGACCTTAAAAGAATAGCCAAAATCAGCTAAAGTAAGCTATGCCTGAGGGAGTTAGATTATCAATGACGCCATAGTGGTTTATTTTTTAACAATAAACCTTACAATTTTAGCAAACTTACTTAATGGGAAGAATAAACTCAATATTGGCAGAAAACGCATTCACAATTAAAAATCGTCATAAATACAAATAATTGTATTCAAAAAAGAAATATATTGCAGTTTCGACCAGGATGAATTTCTACAGGAATAGATTACCTTAGCTGTATTTTGCCAAACTTTTCGGAATTTTTGCTCCTCCCCTTTTTTGGTCAACTGCTTTAATAAGGGTGTCACTGGTGAGTCTTTTGTAGACGAAACGCGTGTCTGGCATACAAAATTACAGGCCTGATATCTTTGATGAGTTTTTAAGCCTTATGTAGTGACATCTAACTGGCACCTATCCCCATATATACTGGTATTCATCATCATCTTGTTGTCTTATTTGTTGTTGCTTTAATCTAATCTAAGCTAATCCAGAAATTTTGATTGAACACATAAAAATTGCCATTTTATTTCAATTCTGTTCTGTTTAAGATAAATGGAAATGCGGGAAACAAAAACCAAGAGAGCGGATCCTAAGCCTAAATCGCTCACCTTTTCCGTAACAAAAATGTTTATGAGAAACGAATTTCTTAATTTCAGATATACAGCTTTTCGTGGTCAAGTTTGTATATCTTGTGTTTCTTATCTGTTTGTCCTTCATAATTTCAGCCTATATAATAGTTTTCTAGTTAACATACAAAACATATTATGATTTTCAAGAAATTAGACGATGCATTTTAAACTCGTGTTTTATTTCTAGCCATGACGCCCATGCTGGTTGATTAAAAGGAACAAAAAACTCAAACTTGAGGATGAAGAGAAGATATTTGAAAAAGTTTTATGACAACAACAATAGGAGTTAAGTGATGGCAATAGATCACCTGGCAAATAGGGTTAGGTGACCTAATCATGGTGAAAACTGTGTAAATAATGGCTTGTGTCAGGGGGAGGAAAATGTATAAAGTGATCACAATATGATTATTCAATTCTGTAAATGCAATTGAACTTCTAGTTTCTGGTTGAAAATATTCACTCGTTTTAGTCTTTTCAACTCAAAGAAAGAATTGCAGTCTTAAATAAAATGGGCGCAGCTTGATATGACCGCAGAGGTCGAACCCTGAACAGTTGGGGCAAGTATGGACACAACATTCAAGCTTGATACAGCACTGAATTTGGATTGTAATTAAATATTTGACACAGCATAGGTTTCTGACACAGAATGAATGTGGTCTAAGAACTCAATTTTTTTTAATTTACCTATTCAAACCATATTATTATTATTTGCTTTTATATATAAATCAGAAATAACCAATTTAAAATGGAAAATTTTAAAGAAAAAAAAGGAAAAAAAATCCCCTCCCCCCCAATTTTTTAAACCCCCTTATGATTCATCACCCCCAAACTCAATACCAGACTTCCCTTTGTGGTATGGTACCTTGCAGTACAATTTCAGAGAGATCCATACACTTTAACACAAGTTATTGTCTGGAAACTGGAAAAATGTTTGTTTTTTGGCCCCTTTTTGGCCCCAAATTCCTAAATGTTTAGGGCAATTACCCCAAACTCAAACTCAGCTTTCCCTTTGTGATATGGAACCTTGTAGTACAATTTCATAAAGATCCATACACTTACACACAAGTTATTGTCCTGAAACTAGAAAAATGCTTGTTTTTTTGCCCCTTTTTGGCCCCTAATTCCTAAAATTTTGAGGAAATTACCCCCAAAATCAATCCCAGCCTTCCCTTTGTGGTATGGTACCTTGCAGTACAATTTCAGAGAGATCCATGCACTTGAACACAAGTTATTGTCTGGAAACTAGAAAAATGCTTATTTTTGGCCCCTTATTCCTAAACGTTTTGGGCAATTACCCCCAAACTCAATTCCAGCTTTCCCTTTGTGATATGGAACCTTGTAGTACAATTTCATAAAGATCCATACACACAAGTTATTGTCCTGAAACTAGAAAAATGCTTGTTTTTTTGCCCCTTTTTGGCCCCTAATTCCTAAAATTTTGAGGAAATTACCCCCAAAATCAATCCCAGCCTTCCCTTTGAGGTATGGTACCTTGCAGTACAATTTCAGAGAGATCCATACACTTGAACACAAGTTATTGTCTGGAAACTAGAAAAATGCTGATTTTTGGCCCCTTATTCCTAAACGTTTTGGGCAATTACCCCCAAACTCAATTCCAGCTTTCCCTTTGTGATATGGAACCTTGTAGTACAATTTCATAAAGATCCATACACTTACACACAAGCTATTGTCATGAAACTAGGAAAATGCTTGTTTTTTGCCCCTTTTTTGGCCCCTAATTCCTAAAATTTGGAGGCAATTACCCCCAAAACCAATCCAAGCATTCCCTTTGTGATATGGAACCTTGTGGTACAATGTCAGAGAGATCCATACACTAACACACATGTTATGTCTGGAAGTTACAAAAATGCTTATTTTTGGCCCCTTTTTCCTTAACTGTTGGTACCATTATCCCCCTCGCTTGCATAAAACATTATAAAGGGACATAACTCAAGAACGGTAAAAGCGACCCAAATTTGTACTTGATCTGAGTTTTGTTTTAATAAGCATTGTGTATAAGTTTTATAACATTTGGTTGAGGCAAACTAAAGTTAGAGAACGGAAACGAAAAATTTAGTAATTTTTCCATTTGTAAAGGGGCATAACTCTAGAACGGTAAAAGTGACGCAACTAAATTTCAAACTTGATATGTGTTTTGTGGTAATAAGCATTGTGTTTAAGTTTCATAAAATTTGGTTGAGGCAAACTAAAGTTAGAGAACAGAAACCAATTTTGGGACGTACGTACGTACAGATGGATGGACAAGGGTAAAACTTAATGCCCCCTCCACTACGGCGGAGCATAAAAAATATCCAAGTATGCAATTTTTAGTTTTTACCTCAAACATGCCAAAATTAAAATTAAATCTTGCAGGTATGTTTTTCTTATCATATTTCGACAGTGCATATCAAAGTATTTTAAGGAAAATGTATCACACTTCCTAAAATTTCCTTCTTTTGTTAACTTGTGTTTTATGAGTTGCTATTTTAATGACATAACACCCAAATCATGAATAAAAGTATACACTTATTCAGAAAATGAACACTTTTAACAGCACTTGTTTTTCCAGCAGATTCATATAGTGCCTGGTTATAGAATGACATAAATAAGAAACAAAAGTTGTTACTATATTTATTTGTACATATCACAGTGATGCCTACTGTACATATATATATTGTGTGTGTGTGTGTAAAACAAGTGAAATAAAGTCATAAACAAAATATACAGTGTACATACACAAACAAAAGTGATATTTTTAAACTATGGCACGCACAGAAAAATCAAAAACATAATTTCTAGCATTTCCTCTTCTTTCTTAACATATACTTATATGAGTGTGTAATTTCATCATTTTATATATGTTTTTCTATTTATCATTTTGCTGTACTGTGATAAAACACCTCCCTGATAACACATCTTTCTATATTGCTCAGTCCTAATACAATTTATAAACTAATGCCTTTCTTTATTCATTAAAATCACTAATAAACAAACTGTTTTCTATCTCCATTTGGTCTATATAACAAATTCAACAGCCTGTTTTTAAAACACAGTGCTTCCTTTCTCTACCTTTTCTTGCTATATACATAAACTTAGACTTACTTCTTTGATATATCTACATAATAAATTGTTCAGAGTATAGGATCAATCTAAATGACCTAAGCTGGACAGTTGAGAAGGTTGATAGTTTGTTACTTGCTTGCTTGTTTAATGTCCAGTGGCAAGTATGTCACCCATAATCAGGATACATTAACAATGTATAAAGGTCAATATCTTAGATCTTCTTTGCTCTGTCTGTATTCTTTTCTGTTAAACACTCTATTTAATTTACTAAGTGATTAATTCAGTACATCACTTGTCAATAATTCATTAACCCCACTTTAAACATTGTACAAGATTGGTATGAGTGACATCTAAAAACAAATTTGTGCTGAATTTATCTACCTATATGATGTACTGGCAGTTGTATTTACTATACATAATGAAGACTACCAAAACACAAAGACTACTGAGTGAATACTGTTTTCCCTTTCAGGAACATTCTCTATAAATCATATATGTGTCTCTATATGTCTTTCTATCAGCACCAGGTGAATTGATGGGATTCTATGAGCACCATTACACAACTTTATCAATGTTGCATCATTGGAGCATTAAGATGTCAATCAGGTAAATATGTGAAGTTTCATGTGCTCCTCTGCTTCCTGAAGACGAAAAAACAGTTTCAAATTACTTTGCTATAGGATTAACACACATTTTGTCAAGAGGTTACTGGTGTAAACTGGTTGATTAACCCAAAAATTGAATAATTGGACTGTTATGTAGTCTAAATCATCCAGGCTACACACAAATTATGAACACATACAACAGAAATAATAAAAAATCTGCTATCAACACCAACTTGTCAATTTAACAAAAAAACATTACAAGTAATATATGACATAAGCCATATTAGTCTTCTAAATTGAATAGTTCAATACTATTTTTAATAGTTTCTTCAGTATGATAAAACATCTAATTTAACTTTTATAAAACTGTCAGAGTGAAAAGGTTTGAGTTCTAAAAAATTGTAAACCTGATCACATGTTCAAGAAGCTTATCATAAACCAGGATTCTGTTGTTAATTGGTTCTTGTTCTTTTTGTTCAACTAACTCCTTAGTTTATTACTATTGAGTTAAATAAGTTAGCATTTTTTTTTTATAATTTGCCCTAAGATGTGGGTGATTGCTCATTGAAGAAAACCAAATAAGGATCAGTAGATGCACACTCTCTGGTCCATTATTCAGTAGACAAAGGTTTCATTTTTATTATCACAACATCTCTACATTTCATTTTTATATACATAAATACAAATGATCTCAATGACATATAATTTTCATATGTATGTGTCAAGAAATCAGTCATTCCAATAATAAAGTATTTTTTCTATCTTACCTGAAGTCCTTCCTTTGTTGATAACCAATCTTTACATCCTCTCCATAGACAACGGAACATTTTTGTGTCAGGTGTCACATGATCAGACATCACATGAGACAATAAATGAGGTTTGATTCCAAAAATATGACAACAGCCTTCAAACTGTAAAAAAATAAACATCACATGTCAGCTAATATCAATAAAAGCCCTTGTCAGTTTAATACAGAAAGGAGTTTTGTATTTATACATCTAAATTGCTGGAACAATAAGACAGGATATTAATTGAAATGCATGTACTGTGGATTCAGTTTTATCATCTGTATCAAATTTCGTGATTGTAGAATAATTTCAAGGGTACCTAATTTCTTGTTATCATAATTTACTCCAATCAAAGAAACTAAAAATTGTATTTCGTCCAGTACCGGTATTTATATATGTCATTTCTATTTATCTATGAAAATTGGTATTCCCAAATTTTAATGAATCCATATAATAATAATAGTTTGTATTCAAACTACCATTTCATTGAGGCATAAGCATTGGTTATAACATAACATAAATCTTGAAGGGTTCTTTTATTTTAATGATTGCAACAGAATCGAAAGGACTTTCTATAGTGATTTTTCTATTATCTCAGTGCTGTTTCAATGCTGTACCTGGGAAAATTGCCTTTTGGCTGTTAGTGGTTTTGACACATGCCAATGTGTGGTATTTTGACTACAATGCTTTCTATTATTCCTGCAGTGTTAAAAACAAACGGGGCACAAAGAACCCTCAACAAACAATATACCTCTTTAATAGCAGTCATATCTTATTTATCAAAACATTATTACTCATCAACAAACATAGACTTGCAAAGCTTTACTAAGTTTTCTATAATACATTTAAAATTCATAAATTCACTAAATTACCTGGCACATTGTTTCTTTATCTCTGTTGACAGGAGTAACTTCTACAATTCCATTTCTGTTACCAGTTATAATCTAAAAGAAAAGATTTACGATAAACATGTATTATAAAACACAAAATAAATATATCCAACTAGGCTATCACAGCTTAATATTCAGGAAAGACATATTATGCAACAGATAATTTTTTTGTAAGATGGTAAAATTTGATTTTGTATTCTTTTAAAACAATAGGTATTTTCTTTCAAAATTGTATTAATCAAATGTGCTACGTTTAAATATTTGGCTTACCTACTGTATCATGTACTAGTTAAACATGTGTGTAAATGCAAACAAACATGAGCATTAACATAGTAAAATGCACTGGTACCTTATCATCTATAACTGTCATCTGTGTAACCAGTCCTCTGTCTGCTCCATAATACAATGCTTTCAACTTGTGGTCCTTAAAACAATACACAATAAAAAATGAATACTGACAATCTTATGTTTTTGAAACATGTATATACAGTCATATTTTAATTTAAAGCAATTTCTTTCCTCATTTTATTGTGTTATTGGATTGCTGTTTCAACGACATATTTTCCATTTGTTCATCAGTTAGTGTTAAAATTAGAATAATTAATCCCAAAGCAACCTCATTCAAACTGCAAAACATATCCATTTTAAATTTGCCTTTAAGTCCAAGATGGTCATGAAAAAACTTATAAAGTATCAAATACTTGTTTTCTTAAAAACTGAATTGATGGGATTTTTTTCTTAATTCAGTGGGCCATGCTTTTTATGCTTCCTTTAACTGAGTAGTATTATCCATGTATCACATTCTTTTCTTGCATCATTTCAAGATGTAACGGTTATTCATATTGATTTTATTCTGTTGCTACTTAACAGACATTCACAAAAGGTTTCGTAGTTTCAGAATGCTAAGGTATAGATTGTATGAGCATAAGTTCCTTATTATTTTACAGAATGAACTTTATTTGATCTTACTTACTGCTGACAGGGAAAATAGGTCATATCCACACAGCTTGTTTTGTTTACATCTCAATGAAATTTTTCAATAAAATAAATGCCTTTAAAAATATGACCTACCTACCCTTTTCTTACAGGGAACCCTAAACAATCATTTTTATTGCTTAATTTTATTACCTGTCGAGTGTAACATCTGATAAATTTGTCAAATGATGCAGAGAACAAAAGATCTTCATACACACAAACAGTGGTGATGATACCTGCAGCCTGGGTATATGTCCAACTCATATCTCCGGTCTAAAAAAGAAGTCTAATAAGCATTTAAAGAATACATACAAAGAGAGTTGATAAAGTCTGGAGAGAAATTTCTAAATTAATTACTACAACTCTGTATCTGATAATTGTCATTTTCATATTGGTAAACCGTTGGAGCTTCTAATTAAATTCCAAAAGAAATCATCAAGAGACAAGAGACATTTTCACTAATTTTTGGATCATTTGGCCTTTGTAGATAGAGATAAAAATTTGTTGTCAGCATTTCCCTCCTCCATGCTCTCTTACTGCTGTAGCAATAGTGAGCATAGAAGTTTGCAGACAGTGATATAAAATTGTTCTCAAGATCTATGAATCATTCATTATTAGTTCTTAATGGTCAAGAATGTCAGAATGGAAAATTTTTGAGAAGTTTATGTAAATAGAGCAGAAAATGAGGATGCACACCAAGGGATGAAATACAACACATTTGCCCTTGTGGCCAGGTGGGCTTATCAAACATATTTTGAAAATAGATCAACAAGTCAATTGTCTAGGTTGCCAGGAATGTAACTTCTTAACCAATGGAGAATCGATTGTCTCTAATGAACATTAAAATAAATGGAAATATAAAAGTCACAAATTTGGGAAATCAACATTAAACAACTCCATAATTGGAGGTGCACACCTTCATCAGCTGTGAACTTACAAGGATCTGGGTTGAACATTGCAGGAGGAGTTTATCCCACAAAGTTGGTAAAATTGAGAATGGAAACGGGGAATGTGTCAAAGAGACAACATCCCGACCAAAGAGCAGAAAACAGCTTAATGCCACCAATGGGTCTTCAACACATCGAAAAAAATCCCGCACGAGGAGGTGGACTTCAGCTGGCCCCTAAATAAATATGTTTACATGTTCAGCAAAAATGGACGTCACACTAAACTCCTAAACATATAAATGAACCAAAATTAAAAAAACATACACAACTAACAAAGGCCAGAGGTTCCTGACTTGGGACAGGGGCAAAAATGCGGCGGGGTTAAAAAGGATATGTGAGATCTCAACCCTCCCCCTATACCTCTAGCCAATGTAGAATAAACAAACACACAGCAACACGCAGAGGAAAACTCATTTTAAAAGAAGTCCGAGTCCGATGTTGAAATAGGTAACAGAAGAAACTAACAGTGTTCCAGCTAGGATTTCAAAAGGGCAGGGAGCTAATCATGAAAAGGGCACTTTAGCACGCTGATTGATAATTCAAAAAGGGCATGTCTAACATTGTCTTTTATTATGTAAACAGCAGGGTTTCAGCTAGGATTTTGAGGGCTTTAGTCATTTTTGCGCGAGATGAAAATCAGCCTTATTTTGGGTAACAGCAAGGGACCAAGGACGTATATTACTAGCTATACATATGCCTAAGTCTTTCAAGGACCAAGATCTTTGAAGGCCTTAGAAATGCTACAAATTAGGCAGTTTTTGCATGATTTTAATGATGTGATGCTTATATATGAAGATTAGAACAAGGAATCACAGCATAAATGAAATTGTAACAACTACTAAGTATTTCACTGCATAATCATTATCCCTGTAAAAACTGACTGTCATGACTGTATATTTTAAATTTATCAAGAATAGATCATGTTTATTTTCGATTTTTAAACTAAATGAAAACTGGAAGTGACAAGAGGATAATTAATTCAGAATGAATCCGGATTCATCTACAGATTGGTTCGTGTTTATCAAAAAGGCAGGAAATTATCATTTTTTAAATGAAGTTGCTCAGTAAGAAATATATTTGTCTTCTTCGTTTAATTTGACACTAAATGATTTCGTATTTTACGTTTTAGTGTCTTTTAAATTTATAAGAATACTTTCATGCATGCGCAGTACATGATAAAAAAAGCACCTGTTTGACTCGTGAAAATATTTTTGAACATTTTGAATAAAGTTTTATTTTAATAATCGAAATTGTTGAAAGATTTTGATGAAAAGTTAAATAAAATGTGACGAAACTACTTCAAACGAGCTACAAATAGTGATCGTTTGAGAAATTTTGAAATTAAAATGCGAACTGTCCGGAGGAAAACATTTTTTTTCAATTGACGAAACTATGAAAACATCTATGGATTAACGAACTGCAAATTGTGGTCGTTTGAGAAATATTGAAATTGAAATGCCGACTGACCGGTTTTAATGGGAAAAACAATTATAATGTCAATTATGAGGTTTATTATAAATTAACGGATTAGTGACCCATCCGATGGCTATAAGCGGATTACCTGTAATCACAATTTATAACACCTGCTGTAAACAGGTAAATGTTAATTAGCTGAGGGTCAAAAACTTGTCAGAGATATGAAGACAGGTAGAAATATAGTATTTCATCAAAATAATACGACATTAAAGGCATGGTCTTGCAAAAAAGGGCAGGGCGTCTTAAAAAGGGCACAGGGCGTCAGTCGGGAAAGGACGGACGGACCGCCCTGTGAAAACGATCAAGCTGGAACACTGACTAAGCAAAATGACAATGATACATAAATTAACAAAGGACTACTAGCAGTTACTGACATGCCAGCTCCGAACCTCAATTAAACACTGATTGAAGAATATGTCTTCATCATATGGTAACATCTTTTGTAAATGTTGCTGAAAAATATCAAGTTTTGAAGCCTGGAAAAGTGGGGGAAATTTTTTTTTTTGCTGAATGTAGCAGTCTATCATATAAAATAGGTTACCACTCCCCTCTGTCCAACAGCATGATCAGCATAAACATTCTTTAATCTGGTTTGTATTTTATGCTACCTGGCCACAAATTTAGTAGCTTATAAAATAAAATTGAGAATGGAAATGGGGAATGTGTCAAAGAGACAACAACCCGACCATAGAACAGACAACAGCAGAAGGTCACCAACAGGTCTTCAATGCAGCGAGAAATTCTATCCCCCCTCAAAGTTTACTTTCAGAAATCAGGTCACCTGGTAGGTATTTTTTACAAAGATAGATTTCAACAATCAAGTTGTTACAAGTATTATCTCAGTCTGGTATATACTTTAAATATATTACAACACTGCAAAAATTTTCTTGATCAAATAATAAGTTCAAGGTAGAATAATATGATTAACTGTGGCATGTTTGAACAATGATTATTTTGACACTTATTTTAAAAGTGTTATCAAAAGGTTGGGCAACATGAAGATATAACTTTAAAAATGGCTCATTCTACATTAGTTAAAAGGTCCCAGATTATTCTAGCTTGTGGATTATGTGAAATAGATACAAAAATAAAAGTGAAATGTATGGACTGTGATCTTTATATGTGCCAAAAATGTACAGATAAAATACATTCCAAGTTTAAGAATGCTGATCTGCATGCCATTGTGGCATTAAAGGACATTCATTCTCATAATGATGAGACTGGTGCAAAGTCTGAATTAAAACCGGTCAAATGTAAAGATCATAGAAAACAACTATGCTGCATGTACTGCTTAACATGTGAACTATTAGTTTGTCCCATGTGCATAACAAAAACTCATCATCTGCATCTAATAGAAGAAATACGAACATTCTGTCAAAATAAAGTTGAAAAAATGAAAAAACAGAAAGATCAAGCTCATACTAAGACACAAAAGTTCATAGAAAAATTAAATTTAATGGCAGAAATTGAAAAATCAAAGTCATATGAGATAGAAAAAAAGATATTAGAAGAGGAAAAAAAAGCAAGGGAAGTTCAGTCACAATGTTTGAGGCTACTTCAAGAACATAAAGAAATCACCAAAAGACATGCTGAACAAATGTCAAAGAAACAATTGGAAATCTTAAAAAAAGAAAAGGATATTGAAATGGTAATGCAAAAAGTAGAAAATATACACAAATCACAAGACACCGAAAAGTTCTTGGAGATTGCATGTTATCTCAATAAAAAATTGGAGTCAATTGAGCATTCAACTTGTCGAAAATCATTTAATATAAAAACACAGCAGTATATTCCTAGATATAAAATCCAAACCAATTTTAAATCACTTGAAATGGAAATTCAAGTTGAAATAAAAGCAAAATATGAAATAAACATGTTAGGCATTACCAGTATCACAAGTGACAAAAATGGCTGCATCTGGATCACTGATGGAACGAAACAAATACAACAACTACAGGTAAAAGAAGAAATTAAAACCTTAAAATCAGTAGAAATGGACCAAAGCCTTGCTGAAATTAGATGTGTGAATAAAGGCGTTCTCATCACATCATCTAGTTTTCCTCAAATCTGTCTTTTGGCCGCTGATAATGAACTAAAAGTTTTCACAGATCTTTCTCCCAGTGAACCTTTTACTCTTCATGTTTCAGACAACGAAATTATAGCGGGACTGGATTGTAGCAGAATAAAAGACAAAACAAACCTTCCAATCATCATGAGATTGGGTTTTAACGGGAAAATCATACAGGTCTACAAAAATCATGGGAGACAACTACTTACAAGAGATGTTGTACGATGCTGTACGACAACCAATGATGGTGATATCTGCTACATTGATAGTATTTACGCTGCAGGCTATTTAGGAGATGTAGTATTCATCAGTCGAGATGGAATTATTCAATGGAAATACAGTGGAAACTCCTTTATCAATTCAAATGAACATCCTTTTACTCCTATTGAAGTCCTGAGTACAGGGTCCTTTAATTTCATAGTTTCTGATACGAATCAACATGCGCTTCATATCCTCACAGCACAGGGTGAACTACTGACAATCTTAAATTTAACATTAATAGGAATAGAAGAGCCAGGGGTTATGACAATTGATGTCAATGGGACTTTATGGATAGATAGCAAGGAACTAAACAAATTTATTCTCAGTTCTGTAAAGTTCTCTGGATTCTGACAGAAAGCATGGCTTTAAATCAAAGCACGAAAGCGCTGTAAAGGCAGTTAATTACAGGTTGTGTGTATTTTAAGTCCAGTTATATCATTATCTTGCATAGTACAGTGTACTTATCAGAGGTGGCTTTCAGTATTTAAGATTTAGAGTTCTCTAATGATATTGAATAAGTT